TGAGTGTCCCCACCTGTCCTGGGAGAGGGACACTGCTCTTCCCCTTGGGGCTGTTTGGAGGCCACGGACCTTCCCCCAACTTTGTCTGGTCTCTGCTGCCGAGTAGGCAGCGGGTCTCCCTGGGGGCACAACCTGCCACGTGGGAAGCACCCTCAGGGGCTGGGATGAGCAGGAACAGGGCTGGCGGACTTGTGGTGAGAGCCCAGTGGTGGGGGCAGGGCCCAGTCCCCAGCTCTGCTCTGGAAGTTCTCTCCTGTTACCACGCGCAGGGTGGTGGAGAGGCCCAGCGTGCTGCAGGCTGGCACCCCGACCCCTGCGGTGAGGTGGGCCCCGCACTGGGTGTGGGTGTCATCGCATTCATTGGGCTAGAAGGGCTGAGTGAGGTGACTCGAGGACCCAGGTGGGCAGGAGAGCCCGGTTCCCCCACCCAAACCTGGCACAGAGGCGCTGAGAGCCCGCCCCCAGTGGGGCCGGGACTCACGGTGAGTTACACTGAGTGGTCTGCAGGACAACGGCCCCAAGCGTTTACCTCCAGAGTGTGTTTGGGAGGGGAAGGCCTGGTAAACTCTAGTAAACCAGTAAACCAGTAAAACTCCAGTGAAAAGCTTCCAGGGGCTGTCACATGGGCAGTGGCCACATCTCTCTCACCTGGCGTCTGCACCTGCAGCCCCCAGCTCTGAGCTCCCCTGAAGGATGGGGGCCACCCCCCACGGGTACCTAAGTGAGGTTCTGGATCCATCAGCCAGGAGGGGCCAGGACCTCTTAGGTCGGCGTGGTCCACTGCCCAGCACCACCCAGGGCTGTCCTTGCAGCCCTGCCCCTGGCCAGGTCGCTCCACCCCAGCTGAGGCTCCTGCACGGCTGCTGCTCAGGAAGGAAGGTCTGGGGGCAGCTCTCGGCGGCTCCTGCCCCGAACTTTCCCGACAAACTCGAAGGCATGGAACAGGCTGCCAGTGCTTGCGACGGCATGAGGTGGCACCCACAAGCGGCCCACACACCCTCGAGTTTGGACGCACGGTGGGGCCCTGGTGTGGCCCTGGTGGGCAGGGACCTTGTGGAGAGATGTGCATCTCAGGGTGGAGGGCCGGGCTGCCCTGCCCCAAGACACTGCAGCCTGGACCCTGCAGAGGAGACAGGTAGGAGGAGACGCTGGGCCCCGCTCCACCCGCTCGGCTCGGGGACTCACAGCTCCTGTTGCCCCTTGTCAGCCTAGACACGAAGGTGGTGCCCGGGACACCGGCCTGGGGCCAGAGCAAGGCCCTGGGGCACAGCTTCCGCCCTGCCCTGCACCCACTCGGGGCCCAGACAGTCTTCCCTGTGTCTGTTAATTATGACAGGGTGAACAACAGCATTCTGGAAAACCCATGTTTCTATGTGATTGGTCTTTTAATAGGTTGGTTTAACATTTGAAATTTGATTTAATTCAACCTGATTTTCCTCAGCACCAGGTCAGGCTGAGTGTGGGGAGCTCATTCCTGGAGCCTATCATTAAGACGGGGGCCCCGGAGCATGCTCCACTCCCTGGGCGCCACAGCTGCCGCTCTGCCGACACAGGGCTTGGGGTGGGGGCAGCGAGGCGCCGACCCCCGGGGGCACAGCTGGGCCTGCACCCCCTCACAGGCCCTGGAAGGACACCGTGAGAGGCACAGAGAGCCAGCTGCTGGCCAGGCAGTGACACGAGCCCGGTGACAGTGGCGTCACAGCTGGCCGCCGTCCCCACCCGCCAGTGACCAGAGGCCCACCCGTCCTGCCCACAGCTCCAGCACCAGGCCGCAGGCCGATGCCACAGACAGAATGCCACACCCCACACCCTCGCCGCACTGCCCCCGAGTGCTTCCCGTGCCTTACAGCCCTGTCTGTGCCTCTGTGCGCGCAGGGCCCAGCCTGGACCCTGCTTTTCACCAAGTTCTTATTCTTCAAGGGCCACTGCAAACTCCACTCCCGTGAAACCGCCCAGAGCTTCAGTAGAGATGACCACTTCCTCCTCCTTCACTTGGATGGGGGTGCTCCCACTGCAAGCGATATGCCCACGACCCAGCGGTAACGGGAGGAGGGCACAGAGCCCCACATCACAGCCCCTGCTTAGGACGCTGCAGGGGGTCAGCAGTGTGATGTCACAAGTGACAGCATCGTGACTGGCTCAAGCTTCATTCTGCGTATTTTATTCTGCTCTGGCGCACTTTCTACAATTACTTTTATGATTAGGAAGGCACAGATGCTCCTAACTCAGTCTGGCAGCCAGGGGCCCCACCTGCTCACAGTCCCTGGGTGCCCCGTCCCAGCATCCATGTCCGTAGGCCCCTGGAGCCCAACCCCCCACCCTCGCTCCCACCAGGAAGGTCCACAGGAGGGCTGTGGCCGCAACTGCGGGGCCAGGCCCGCCATGCTCTGGCCTCCCGGCAGACCACGAGTCCCCAAGACCCCTGGGGCCCTCAGTGCGCACCTGACCTGCGGCCTTCCCGCCAGCTGCCGCAGTGAAGCCAGCTCCCCGCACTGTGCCAGGCCACCTCCCCCAGTCCGGGCCCACTGACTGCTGGAGGTTGGGTTCGCCTCCAGGGGAAGATGCTGCCGCCGCCTGGCCCAACCCCAGCCTCACGGCTGCAGAGAAGTCACGGCCGTTTCCTGAACTCCCCCCGTGACCCGGGCGCAGCGCTCCCCATGCCAGCTCAGCCGGCTCTTCCTGCGTCCATCTCTGCAGACTTTCGTCCCGAGGCTGGCAAGCCTCTCTGGGTCCCGAGCTGAGGGCTCTTGTCCAGCCCTGCCCCCGGGGCCCCCCAAACCAGCGGCCCCTGCCACACAGAGGGGCCCAGTACACTGGGAAGTGGCCACTCTGCCTGGCATCCTCCGGCTAAACACGAGCCCGGCGTCTGCCCTGGTCCCTACGCATCCTGGGTCACTGTGCTTCTAGGGCCTGCTCAGCCTGGCCTCTGGGCTGAAGAAAGGCGAGAGGTTTTGAAGTTGTTGTGTGTTCAAAGCAGCTGCCTCTGAAACTCAGGGACTCACACAAGGCTGGCACACGTTACAGCATCTGCCTGGACCCCCTCTCCCCGCCCTTGGCTGGGCCTGTAGGGGACCACAGAGCCCAGGGGAGCTCGGCTGTGCAGGGTGGGGTGAGGCCAGGCAGGGAGTGGCCCTGACAACCCTTCTGGCACCCAGGGCAGATGTACGGTCCCCCTCTCTGAGGCTCCCTGCTACCCTGGCAGCCTGGGGGGATCAGACCACTGCGTCACAGATAGCTCGCCACAGGTGCTTCTTCTGGAAGGAGCAATTTCTGCAGGCTCAGCGGGCAGGGTCCGGGGAGCTAGCTGAGTCCACAGAAGCCCCTCCCAGGCCGGTGGCCTGGAGGACAGAGTGCGCTCAGCAGCGGCACCAGATGGGAGATGTCCAGCCCTGGTCCAGGCTGGGCTCACAGATGAGGAGGCCAGAGCGAAGGGTGGGCTTGAGCAGAGCAGCCTGAGTGCCCCAGGGCCGGCGTCCTTCCCACTGGCGGCCACTGGGACAGAAGGGCTCTCAGACCTGCGTACAGGAGCCGCACGCATGACCACCAAGAATGTGGACGGACCCGGGCACCCTTCAGCAGGTGAAGAACAAACGAGCTGTGGGCCCTGCAGATGGCAGAGCACTATTCAGTGGGGAAACGAGAGTGGTCAGCCATGAGAGGGCAGGGAGGGACCGTGAGTGCACAGCAGTAAGTGCCGGAACCTGTCTGACGGGGCTGCGTGCTGTGTGGTCCCCACTCGAGGATGCTCTCAGAAAGGCAAACTGTGGGGACTGCAAGGAGAGGGGTGGCCAGGGGATCGGGGTCTGCAGGGTGTGGGGCCGCAGGGGACGGAGAGCCGTGCAGCTCTGGTGCAGGAGGGGCCGTGCACGCCGGCCAGAACAGGCCCCCAGTGCCTCCCTTCACTGAGGGCAGTGTCGTCGGGAGCGTCGAGATGACAGGAGGGTGGCTGGCACCCTCTGTTCTGGCCCTGGGGCAGAGGTGTTCTGCCAGGAGGCTCGGCAGCTCCAGAAGGGCCCTCTGAGCGTCCAGCAAGTGGGAGGTTCCCCAGGGCCCCACGACCAGGCTGGGAGGAGGCTCTACTCCAAGGGCCGGGCTCCCAGGGGCCCTCTGAGGGGACAGCGCGTATGCACCGTCACCAGGCTTGTAGGCCAGCGATGCCACTGCCTCCAGAGCCCAGTGCTTTCTGCCAGCACAGGCGGAGGAGGGAGGGAGGCCACTGGTGGGCAGCCAAGAGCCCCTGCCCATTCGACGACCCACAGGAGAGTCAGTTTGTAGAAGGATAAAAGCAGGACTCTATGGTCTTGACTCCCACTTTGTCCCTCAGCCACTGCTGGCCACCCACCTGGGGCTGGAGCAGACCCTACACAGGGGTCCCCAGAGCGCCAGGGGGTCCTGGGGCCAGAGCATGGACAGGAACCCCGCCCACACGGCGCAGACTGCCCACCCTGTGTGTGCCACAGAGACCCTGGCTGGGAGGTGAGCACGCCCTCCGTGCTGCCCTCGCCACACCTCATTCCCCTGGGGCCACCTGCCTGCTTCCCTCACGAGCTCTGTCCCCACGGTGGCAATAAGCCCCTCCCCTGACCGGCATGGGCCTGCCCCTGGCAGCTGGCCTTCCAGCACGAAGCTCGCGCCCTCTTGCCGGCCTGGGTGCTGCCCTGGCTTCTCACGACAGCATGCAGCCCCGTGTGCTCCTACAGCACCCAGGGCACCGCCTGGCCCAACACCAGCTCCTCCCTGGTCCTTCAGCCCCTGTGGGCACTGCCTGACCTCGTGCCCCTGCCATCCCCTGGCTGGGTGATGAGGGCACAGGCGAAGTGTCACCGCAGAGCCAGCTCGGAGTGGTCCTGTCCCACATCCAGCAAGGGGCCCGGCTGCTTTTCAGAGGTGATAGCCAAACCCAGGCTGTGCAGCAGACACAGGATGGCAGAGAGGGGCAGACTACCAGTGCCCCCCGGGCTTTGGGCTGGCCCCCCAGACCGAGAGCCCCGCCTGCCCACCTTGAAGACGAGGCAGTCGTCCTTGCGCTCGGCGTACATGGACGTCAGCCGGTACTGGCTCTCCCTGGTGATGTCGACCTGGTAGCCCGTCAGCGTGTAGCAGACCTTCCGGAACTCCTGGATCTTGGTCTGGAAGACCTCCTTGAGCCGCTGGTTTTTTAGCTCGGCGCTCTCCACCTGCTTCTTCAGCTCTGCGGAGAGAGGGGGCGTGAGGTGGCAGGCTTCCGGAGCGGCGGGGTGCCCGGGTCCGAGGTCACGGACTGCAGGGCAACGGGGAGGGACGTCTGCCACACATCAGCACCCTGGCCATGTGAGCTCAGCCACCGAACAGAAAGGACGTGCCAGCCACATCGGCTGCTTGTGGTCACGGCACTGACAGGATGCTGCTTAACACAGTGGCTAAAGAAAAGGGAGAAGCTGACTGCCAGCCATTGCCTGGCTCTGAGCTCTGGACGCATACCTGGCTCATTTCCTTTCAAAGGCTTGGCTCTTGGCAGGCCCTGGGGAGGGGCCTATATCAGGACGGGAGGGGTGGTGGGGGCCAATCACCCCCCCCACCCCGGCACAGTCTCCAATGGGCTTGAAGCAGGCACTATTGGACCAAGGGTCAGCTCTGCAGTCCTGGGTCCTGACGCCCTGACTGGGTTACTGACAAAGGCCCCCAGTGTGCAGGAGTCCCTGCCACCGGCACCCCACAGGGATCAGCACCGAGAAGTAGTCAGGGCAAGGGCCTGAAGACAGAAGTCATTGGGAGATTTTGGGCCATGATCTCCGGGGGTTCCCTTCCCAGTGACCCGGACAGTGCAGGCTCCCGCAGGTTTCCCTGGCAGGGCCCCGGGCCACCCACCACTGCTGCCAGAGTTTATGGCCACACGGGGAGACATCAACTGTGCGAAGCCGGCAGGAGGACACACGGCGATTAGCATGAATCCTCACCCAAGGTGCCTTCCCCGTAATTAAACCTCGATTTATCGCCCACTAATTAGCGAGGCTGGCTCACTTAAACACAGACGCAGTCGTCTCTGGAGCCAGGCGCTTCCTGGCGTTCTGGTCTGGAGCTGGATGGGGAGCCCCGTGTGGGGCAGGAGGGAGCCCTGTGGGCTGAGTGCCAGGACCCCTGCTGTGACAGGGACTGGGGTTCCTCAGGCTCAGCCACAGTCCGGCAGGGTCAAGAGGAGCTGCAGGCACAGAGGCCCCCTGCAGGGCCTGGGTGAGGACCATTCCAGATCCAGGGGCGCACAGGGCCGTGCGGGCCTGGGCCCTGCCCACTAATGGCAGGTGCTCAGTCAGGCAGCGGGTTGCGAGGCGGCACAGACGCCCTGCCACACAAGCAGGGGTGCGAGACCGAAGCTCCAGCCCAGGTGGGACTGTCACCAGGAGCAGTGCCCCGAAAGCCTCCCGGCCTTTCACACACTCTAGGACACACCAGGTCCCGAACACACACCTGGGTTTATACTTCCTGCCACTCTGTGGGCAGCTGGGGCAGGCTACATGCTGGCTCTGAGCAAGGAGCCCCGTACTGGGGCACTGTTCCTGCTGGCCCCCATGTGGTGCATGGAGAGGCTGTGCTTGGCGCCTGTCCACATGGCCACGTGCCCAGCCCTCCTCTGCCCCGGTGGTTACTGGCCTCGACGGCCCTGGCAGACCCCTTGACTAATCAAGCAGTCGGACTGCGACATCAAGAGGACAGCCAGAGCTCTGTCCTCCCGCGCGGCCAGCCCACCCAGTGCAGCCCGTCAGCAGGAGAAAATGCCCCCTTGCACAGGAGACATCCACCACCCATGCATCCACAGTGATACCTCACCCGCCAGAGGCTGCACAGCCTGGGATGGGTCCCAGGTGTCCACCGGGGAAATTATATTCCGGTCGTAACTGCAGCCTGACCTTGGGAAAGACACAGCCCCGAGGCCCCCACATATCTTGGAGCCGCCTGTTCACAGCTTGTGCCTCCCTCTGGGGGAGACGAGCTGTGCCTTGGGGGGTGGGGGAGGGCGCAGCACAGGCACCCCTGGGGAGCCAGGCCCCAGGCCCTGGGGCACACCCAGGCCCACGCTGCCCTCTGATAGGAATGAACACAGGGGCTCAGAGGGGGCAGGTGCTCAAGGTGACGTGGCCTGGGGGTTGAAGGGGCCCTGCCTGACCACCTGGCCCAGGTGAGGCCGGAGGCCTCATTTAAGGGAGGCAAGGAAGGCGTGGTGTGCGGCCCGGCAGTTCGCTCACACGCACCTGAGCGAACAGTTCACACGACAGTGTGGACCACATACGTGAGATGGGTGGGCCTTCTGCCCTGGAGATGCTATGACTGATGCAGTCTCTTCTCTGGGCTGAGGGCCAGAGACCCCAGGGGTCACAGTGGCCTGCTCCGTAACCACCCATGGCCATTCCACTTGCCCAACCTGCCCGTGACAACCACAACCGTGGCCAACCAGGCCGTGGAGAGCCCCACCCTGCACCCCCAGCCCTGGCCGCAGGGGCTCTGGGGAGTGAGTGCAGGACCGTCAGCCTGGGCAGGCCTGCCCTGGGAGCCATCCCCCGTCCTCCCTTTACTGGCCCTGGGCTCCTGCCCTCCAGCCACACTGACCAGAAGAAACTACGCATGAGCACCTGTCTGGCCTGTGCCAAGGCCTTTCCTCCTCTCCTGCCACCCAACCATGTGCTGGGCCCCCCCCCCCCTCTACAGCCACCCCGCTTGGTTCCCTGCTGGTCTTGGTGAGGGGGTATGGCGTAGAGGTGAAGAGCCAGCATGGCTGGGCCCCTGAACCACACCGGTTGCTGTGGCTGCACATGAGGCCCAGGCCCACTGGCTGTATCAGGCTTGTCCTCCATGCAGCCCCGACACCTGGCTCCCTCTGGGCTCAAGAGGCAGTAGCAAGAGCCCAGTGGGCAGGATGCAGAACAAACATAAACCGACCACATCACACAAAGACGGCGGGAGAGGGGTGCCCTCCCTGGGGAGGGGTGTCAGGAAGAAGCAGTGTTTATGGGACATGGCTCTGGACATCAAGTTCACAGCCGAGGCTGGGGCACGGTGCTATCCTGGCAGGCAGAGGGAACCCGATTCCGCTTCCTTCCCATCAGTCTGCAGGTACGAGGGCTGGGGGCCAGGGTGGCAGCAGGAAAAGGTCTCTGTCCAGTCTGCCCACATGGCCCTGGCCCCCCAGAGAAAGCACTGTCCTCTGGGCTCTGCTCATCCCTCAGCGTGGTGGGGCCCACACACGGACAAGACAGCAGTGAGTTGCTTTTGAAGAGGTGCAAATGGCCACAAGGAGAGTGGCCATGGGGTCAGCCTGTCCACACCCCTCCTCCCAGTGGGCCCAAGCCATGCCCACCCCTGAGCCAGGCCAGCGGCCCTGGACTGTGGCAAGCTGGGCTGTGAGAGCACACGGTCTGGCCCTGCAAGGATGCCGGCCGATAGCTGGCCAACCGTCTGGCGGTTGTGTCCTGCCCGGGCAGCGGACAGGCCTCCAGCACCGCCATCGGCTCCAAGTGCCGGGCCCTGGTTTCTCCTGGCCCTCCCCACATGGCAGTGCCTCCCCATCAGTGGGCGGGCCCCACCCATGCCGAGCCCAGAGGACTGGGCTGCACAGCAAGTGCTGTGTGGGCTCAGTGCCCAGAGGGAAGCTGGCCCCTCAAAGAGGAGCAGCTCTAAGAGGGGAGCTGAGTGCAGGCTGCAGAGCTGGGCCAGGAGGCAGGTGGCCGGGCCCCAAGGCCTCCCTCCACATCACGGAGTCGGGGCGGCCCCCAGCCCAGGCCTCAGCAGCAGGTCCAGCCCTGGTGCTCTGGCTCCCCCGCCCACTCTGGCCTGTGGGTGGGCCTGCATCCCAGGGCAGGACCCCAGGCTCCTCGGGGAAGCTGGTCCCCGAGGCTGTCGGGGCTGCAGCCAGTGTTCCCGGATCAAAGACCCATCCCTGGGAGAGACTCGTGTGGCGTGGCTGCATTGGGCCATGTTTGCCGTGACACAGAAGAGTGTCTGACACTGTCAGGGTGGCACTGTGAGCTCAGGAGGTGAGACCCAGGTCTGCCTTTCGTTATTGCATCCCCAGAGCCCTGCACGGAGCCTGGCGGGGACTGCTGCCATTTCTCCACCAACCCTAAATCAGCCTGCTAAAGCGCAGCGGTTAGGCTAATCAAAGGTGACAGTGATGCTGCCTCTGAGCTGTGGCTCTGTCTGCCCCAGAAGCCCTTGGGGGGAGGGACAGGAACAGTGGGGGGTGGGGGGTGGTGCTCTGGAAGTGAGATGTACCTGGAGGAGAGGCCGGGCCTAGGCCACCTGGAGAGCAGGAAGCACAGGGCGGGGCGGGGGCAGGGGAGGGGCACTGCGTTGCTCGAGGGTCTGCACTCCTCCAAAATCCCAGGGTGATGCCCTGCCCTCCCAGAGAGGAGCCTCAGGAACTGAGGACTGCCCCACCACCCAGGGTCAGGCCCACACCCGCGGTGAAGGGCGCAGGACCCACACCCGGGCAGGGGAGGGGCGAGGAGGAGGCCTTGGCAGGAAGTTGGCAGCTGCGCCCCCAGCCTGGCTGACCCACGGGACCTATGCAGGTTTCCACCTGTGCCTGGTCACCCACTGTGCCACCCAGACAGGGGTGACATGCCAAGTGGTTCAGGCCCAAGGCTGCTGACTGTGGTCCCTGCCGACTGTCCCCACCATTGCGCACCCAAGGCGCAGCCCACAGTCCCGGGCCCGGCTCGGGCCCACCAGGAACAGCCCCGGGGAGGGCAATGCTGGCCTCCTGCGCAGAAGCAAACCTCAGGGCCGCCAGACACTGCAGGGGATGCCCATCACGGGACGGCTGAAAGCAAGGCGAGTAGTGACCTGGAGGAGAGGCCAGCACGGGGAGGAATGGGAGGAGTACCCACATGTGGCATCACAGGAGGCAGAGGAGAGGGACACAAGCTCCAGTACTGTCACAGACTCTAGCGCTCCTGACGAGGCAGGAGACCCCCCAGTGCCCTGCTCAGCAGCACCGTGACGGGTGCAGGTGGCCAAAAGAGGGGTTCTGGGCCTCCACATGAGGCTGCAGGACACAGGGCAGAGCAGTCTTGGGCTCTACAGGAAAACAGCTGAAGGGAAGGCAGCGTCTCTGGGGTGAGTGGGTGCAGCCGGATAACACTCAGCGCTCTGTGGATGGGGAGAAAAAGCTACACAACACCCGGACAATTCCCAAGATCGAGCACCCAACTGGATCTG